GTGTTTTTTGTCATTTTTGTTAACTTTTATAGATCTTTTGAGCCAAAAATCTCATTTTGTTTTCCAGACAGACAGTCATACGAGTTCGGAACGAGTGCGAGTAAATGACGACAGGACCTTGAGCTCCGGGGGAAAATCCCTGTAATAAATGAACTGCAAGTCACTTTGGATAAAACTGTGAGCCATATGACTAATGAGTAATCAGTAAAAATTTGGATACAGAGAAACCCTTTGACACACACACACACACACAGAGGTGAGTTATGATCGCACAGTGACTGATTGCACGACTGAATTCAGTCGTGTTTCACTTATCTGGTAGTCTTGAGCAGGTTTGGTGCTCTGCGGTATAAAACATACACAGAAGCTTTTCTGATGAGCACCCCAACCCACTCTCTCTCTCTCTCTCTCTCAAACCAATGCACGAACCCACGCTTCCCACCGACAGGCGCGTGTTCCTGTCTGCCTGACTGCTTCAGAGAGCCGTGACTTCTGAGGTAAACAACAAAGAAAGAAGACCTGCTGAATAAACACAGCGCCTCAGACAGTCTGAGGAAAGACGATGAGTTCAATTTGAGCTAGTCTTTACTGACCGTCCTCCACTCGTTTTGAGTCAGTGGTTCAGTTAGTGACTGAGAAATCTGACGCGATTCACTGAGAAAGTACGTCCAGACCAATAACTATACGACCCCATACGACTTTTACTTAATAAAAAAAAGGTTCCCTTCATCTCAGTGGAATAAGATTTTGTGACTTTTCATACATTATCTATCTACACACACACACACACAAAAACTGGGCTTGGTTCGGTTGTTCTGAAGGTATGTAAAAAAAAAATGTTTACACTTCTAAACCTTCGGGGTCAGTATGACCCCACATTGAAATGAATGGGAAATGTGAAAAAAACTAAATATAGACCATTTCACAAGATGTAAACGACACTGGTCCAGAAGCACTTCCTGTTTCAGTTTTTTAACACTACATAAAAGCTGGGATAAAATACAACCAACAGAACATTTAAAACTGAATCAAAAAGTTAAACAAACATCTTTAAGATGTTTTCTTTACATGTGAAATAAAGAAAACAGTTATAAACTGAAACAGGAAGTGCTTCTGGACCAGTGTTGTTTACATCTTGTGAAACGGTCTATATTTTCTTCATGTGTCAAAAAAAATAAAAAACCGACATAAATCAGAAAATTTTTACACAGAAATGAAGGCCTAGTGCTAGAGCATAAATGCAATGTATCATAAAAAATAATATTTCATATGCAAGCTAATGGTGTAGTTGAGTAATTGTGTGGTATATGGATACAAAAGTACTTTATATCTCCAAAAACACAGCATTAATGAATAGATGAGAAGTAAACCAAAAAAAAGAAGATATATTATTTGTATGATTAAAGATTTATATTTTTTGTACAATTACTCAATCAATTGTTGGGGTCGTATAGACCCCGAAGCCCAGAAGTGTGAAACGAAGACTATTTGAAGGTTAAACTCAATCCAAACAAGCTTTGTTATAATAAAAGCTTAATATATATATATATATATATATATATGGGAGTAAAACTGGTGGTGTCATGTTGGAACCATAATCACAATTTATATATATATATATATATATATAAAAAGTTCAGATGCAAAAGCCTCTAAGTGCCATTTAAAATTTTCTTCTAGAATGATCATTTTTATCAAGCTTGTATATTTAAGTTCAGTGATTTAACTTAAATGGCAATGATGATTACCTATTAATTGTTATTTAAGTGAAATCACTGAACTTAAATATACAAGTTTGATAAAAATCATCATTAAAGAAGAAAATTTCAAATGGCATTTAGAGGCTTTTGCATCTGAACTCTTCATATATATATATATATATATATATATATATATATACATATACACATATACACACACTACCATTAAAAAGAAATTTTTTTACCATTTTTTAAGAGATTAATACTTTTATTCAGTAAGGATGGATTAATAAGCGAAAATCTCTTTCAATTAAAGAAACAAATGTATGTTTCCACAAATATTAGGAAGCAGCGCAACTGTTTTCAACATTGATAATAATAAGAAATGTTTTTTTAGCAGGAAATCATCATATTAGAGTGATTTCTGAAGGATCATGTGATTTTTAAATTGTAATAACATTTCACTATATTACTGTTTTTACTGTATTTTTGATCAAATAAATGCAGTCACAGTGAGCAGAAGAGACTTCTTTCAGAAACAATGACTCGCCTTAGTTTTACTCCCAAAAAATTGTATTTACATGCATGTTTTAATATTCAATAAACCATATTTTGGAGAAAATATGTGAGAAATATATATTTAAACAGTAAACAGTCTCAGAATATCAGTCAGAGAATATGAAACTTTTTGAGGGATTCTGTAATTTGTGAACTAAAAAAAAAAAAGTTATCTGGCACTTAAATGTCATTTTAGCAGCCATCGGCTCACTTTTCTTTTTTATTCTAGATTATTCTGGTTTTGGTTGTGGTTTTCAATGTTCTCGCATAGTCCCAAGCTTAAAACACACAAAAAAATTACACAGGGACTGTATTTCCTGTGGTTCGTGCAGGAAACATTGATGAGAAAAGACAGATTACCGTTTTGTACCAGACATTCAAATTGGAAAAATAGCCCAGACATTATCTAACAACATTCACCTGACCATCATATCGATGCACAGCAGCGTTATACAGTGCCGTGCGTCCCTCACTGCGATGGAGTAATACACACTAATGGTGGACCAACAAGATCGACCTGTCGCTTATCAGACAGAAAACAATGTAGTAATGGCGTATTAGAGCAAAGTAAGCAGCAGAGAAGATGAAGAGAGACAACGACTGAAATGAAAGCCATTGAATCGGGGAGCGAGTTGAGTGGGTGAGAGATGGAGAGAGTAAAAGAGAGAGAGAGAGATGAGACACACACCGGGGGCTCTTATACGTTTTGCCCAGACTAGTTTCAGTGCACTAATGAATGGCTAATGAAAAGAGAGAACGCTCCTCTTATACTGGAGCGAACGAGAGCTGATGTCAGTGTGTGTCTCTGTATCAAACCCAGACAACATCTCACACACTCTGGGTGTGTTTGATATGGCATACACTCAACATTCACTAACGTTCACGCGTTTGGGGTCGGTTAGTTTGTCTCTTACGCCCATCAAGCTGCATTCGTTTAATCTAAAATACAATAAAAACTACATTTGTGAAATGTTATGTTTTATTATAATACATTGAAAACTGTCATTTATTCCAGTCAAGGCCAAGCTGATGTTGAAAACATTTGTGTGGCTTCATAATTTGAGCAAAAAGTGCAGTATTGTTTCTCAGGGTTCTTTGATGAACATAATGCATTTATATAAAATCTTTTGTAACATTATAAATGTCCTTACTGTCACTTTGATCAATTCGATGCAACCTTGCTGAATAATAAAAGTATTCATTTCTGTAAAGAAATGTTAGTGACCTCAAACCTTTTATTCGCATCCTGCAGAGCCGTGACCAGAAATGAAACGCAGAAAACACTTGACAGTGTGGTGAATGAACTGGAAGAATTGAGCGATAGTTTAACATCGTTTTGAGACTAATTCGAAAATTTAGAGAATATTTTATTAAAACAATGTCCTCAGAAAGAATTAAAACTGAAAGATTTACTTCAACAAATCCATTATTAACCAACAGAAACCTGGATGTGGAAAAGTTTAATTTTAAAACATATTAATACGTAGATTAAATTATATTTTAAAAGACACTTAAAAATATGAATATATAGAATCAATTAAAGGGATAGTTCACTTTGAAATTAATTTTTGCTATGTTTTATCTTACCTCAAGGGCATCCAAGATGTAGGTGTCTTTGTTTCCACAGTATTTTCAATTTTGATATTTTTAGGTCAAATCGTTCTTGTCTGTCATTCATATAATGCAGGTCTATGGTCACCACCTCAAAGAGCATGCACAGAGAAGTCCAAATTAAACATGATTTAATGACTCGTAAATGTAAGTACACATTGATGGCCTAAGACACGAAACGAGCGGTTTGTGTGAGAAAACCAACAGTATTTATATAGTTTTACCTCTTGTAACCACAGCCACGTCCAAGTGATCTGAGGGTGCAGGCGCTTTATGGCTGTGGTTACAAGAGGTAAAAACGATATAAATACTGTTGGTTTTCTCACACAAACCGCTCGTTTCGTGTCTTAGGCCATCAATGTGTACTTACATTTACGAGTCATTAAATCATGTTTAATTTGGACTTCTCTGTTCATGCTCTTTGAGGTGGTGACCATAGACCTCCATTATATGGCTAACAGACAAAAACGGTTTGACCTAAAAATATCAAAATTGAAACTACTGTGAAAACAAAGACACCTACATCTTGGATGCCCTTGAGGTAAGATAAAACATACCAAAAATTAATTTCAAAGTGAATTATCCCTTTAATGTATTAAAACAATAATAATAAACAATTAACATTAACATTATATAAATACAAAGGCTGATAAACAAATAAAAAATAGTGTCCATAATTTAGTTGTGTGCCTTTTTAGTGCATCACTTCAAACTGTCAACAATGATGCGTTCGACTATATGACAGTCTAATTTGCATAATGCATACGCCATTTTTTCAAATAGTAGACAGTATTTAGTATGTAGTGAGTATGCAGTGTTAATAATCTTTCCCAAACACAGCCTCTGTCTCGCTCATCAAAAGTTTTCATTATTTGAACAGCGAGAGGAATCGAGGGATACTAGCAAACGGCGGATAATTATTGCATCTAATAAATGTGTGAGTGTGTGTGGGAGAGGAGAGAAAGAGAAGCAGAAATGGGTAACACTATATCCAAATGTGAAAACATCCAGCGAGTCTGCTGTGTTTCCAATGGAGTGAGCAGAGGAGGGAAAATTGCATTTGCATTCCAGTGGGAAAAGCAGGAGTGTGTGTTATTTCCTGGAGTGAGACAGAGTGTGTGTGTGTCCTACCTGTCTTTGTGCCGACGTTGCCATTTGAATCTGGCAGAACTTCACAGCTTGATCCAGCGCTACATCCTCATCCACCTTCACAAACACAGAAATATGAGAAATAACATGAACACTATCATTCATCACAGCCATGTGAAAGCAGCCACGAGGTTTGCAGTGTTGTCTCATGTCATGTTAACCGCATCACTCGCGTTTTACAAACCATTTAAAAACTCGGGAAAACAATTAGCATACTCTGAATTTGATATGTGCGGCCTAGACATTTGATACACTTCTGGCATTTGATTATAGTCAGGAATCTGGAAAAGAATAGTTTATACTTGTTTATATTATACTGTGCACATGGATCCATTTTATGGCATTATGAGCATCGGCATAGAAATGAATAATTTCTGAGTCTGATGATATAGTTCAGAGAAGAATTATCTTGTCATCTTGTAATTATGGTACTTCAGTCACACTATGAATATAAGAGTGGAAATACAATAAAAACGTACACGTTCACAACACAAAACTCCCACTTCAGCACTTTAACATATGACTGCCCACGTTCACAAATAAACGGACATTCAGTACCTTGACGGAGTTGCTGTTCCTCATTTCATGAATCATTCAGCGAGGTCATTCACGGTAAGAGTCTTAAAATGTACAGTTCAGGATTCATTTATGACACTCCATTATAGGGGATATTTCACCCATGTTTCCAAACACAAATGAAGATATTTTGGTAACACTTTACAAAAAGGTTTCATTAGTTAACTACAGTAGTTGACATGAACAACAGCATTTAATAAAACATTCATTCAAACTTTCTTTAAAATCAAAAGTTGTGTCTTAACATTAGTTAATGCACTGTGAACTAACATGACAATTTTTATTAACTGACATTAACAAAGGTGCACTTAATTAACTAATGCACTTACTAATTGTAAGAACCCATTTAATATGATTTCAATTTGTATTATTATTATTCTAATTTTATTTCTGTTTATGTACAGTGCCGTTTTATTTAAAGGTTAGGGTACATATCATGCTTTTAAATCATTCATTTTTCCATATAAATCATACCGTTGTGGTCTATATAAAACATAACTGCAACGCTTGGGTCTGAATTCCTCATTATTATAACTCCACAAGCCCCTTTTCTGATGTGCGTCTTTGAGCAACCCGTTTCGAAGCGGCCCCTTTAAATAAAAAGGAGATGCGTCACACCCCGCCCGCTCTCCCGGTCAGTTCAACTTCTCGCGTTCGGCCATTACTGTCGTTTGATTAGAGATATACGATTATATACAATACCGTCAAAGAACATTTTTATTCACATTTTAATAAAATCTCAACAACAGAAGACTTGTCCATCAAGCCTTACATATTCGAGCCAGAGCGAGCGAGTTGATAAAGACGACGACGAACCTGCAGAACAACCTCTTCATATGGATATATTGGTATGTGAGTTAACCGTTTTGTGTTATTAGTAAAATTCGACTATTTCTCTTGTTAAAACAAGCACACTGACAAGATAAATAACCTTACCACAAAAAATCTGTATTGATAATATGATGCGTTTAGAAAAGCATCAGAAAACAACGCAGCTAAATGACCATTGATGAAACTCAAGAACAATAATACTGCAGACGTGTAACGTTACTTCAAATCAAAAACAAAGAAAAACAAAGGTACTGCTAAACCATGACCACCATGTGTTTTAAGAAAGTAAAGTACTTTATTTTTATTAACGATATTTACAGCTTATCGAAACGCTCTGTTCGTCGTCTCCAAAGATAGAAGGAATTTACCTCTCATTCAGACGAAGTCAATCGGCAAACCCTTTTTTATTCTTTATACTCTCGTAACTTCTGCATCATTGAGCTCGGACTACATAATCGGAGCGAGAAATAATAATGGCGGATTGCTCGAAGTGTTGGACCGGTAGTCGATGTCCTTATTTGTCAGTTCCGCTGCAAAAACGGCGACGTTATAGTTCAAAAAACGTCATAGAGAACAGAAAAATCTGAACAGGTTGAAAAATATGACCAAAACAGAATATAAAGATATAAACGAAGCACCTGAAGAGAATAATTTCATCTTTTCTGTACTTATAAACACTCCAAATATACAACAAAATGCATTTAAGGGCTAAAAAAGTGGATTTTGCATGATATGTCCCCTTTAAGAATGTACTTGACGTTTCCTGTACTGCATTTACTCATAGTTGTCCTTGTATATTTTACTTGAAGTTAGCTTTAACCAGCCATCCTCCTCATATGTTCATACAAGTATTGCTGTTTTAATGTTAATAAATGAGACCGTATGGTAAAGTGTTACTGATATTTTTAATGAAACCTGAGAGATTTCCGTCTCTCCATTGAAAGTCCATTCAAAATGTTGACAAGCTTATAAAGTAATAATAAATAAAATAAAGCATTGCAATAGTATCAGTACGCGATCATTTTGTATCGAATCGTGACACGAGTGCATCGTTACACCCCTATCAGCAAATACTAATAGCACTAAAACAACAGCTCGATTCGCTCTAAAACGAGTGTAAAAGAACATTTCATTGGATTTTGAGAACAAACATGAAGCCAACCCAGACCGTCCACCAGAAAACAAATGCTCACTAGCCAGTGTGTGTGTGTGTGTGTGAAAGCTGCCAGAAAAGCTCTCAGAAATCAGTTGATGATTTCTGGCAGAAGAGGCCGACGCTAATGAAGGACCATAATCAGACCATCTACAAATATGGAATAAAAGTCAGTGTATACACACACACACACAAACACGGGCCGAGGTCCCGAGAGGATGCGGCAGGAACAAATAATCTCTACCACAGCTATGATACGCCAAACTGTGCAGATGGTGTTATGGTGTCCTGAAAATGAACAAGTCAAAACAAAGTTCTGTCTGTATGAAACACCAAGAACTCACACAAATAAAGTAAATATTCTAGTTCAGGGAAGTATAAATGGCTTTATGTATGCTCAGTGTGTCATTATGTTACTGACATTTCCTCATAGTTACCCAAGATCAGTTTCAATCAACTTACAGGTTACAAAGTTTATTGTAGCTGTGTGGACGCTCAGTTTTTCCTGTCGTTTAATGCATTTGGCTCAAATCTTGAGTTATAAAAGATTTAACATGACCAGATGGCAAACACCAGACTAAGACACTCTTCCACTCTCCTCAAATACATAAAACATTAGTCTTTAGAAAAACATTAAAACGCTGGACTTATTTAATCTGGCACTGTAAACAAGCCGAGACCGTCTCCAAAATATATGCAAACACTTCATTTCAGGATTGAAGCGGGTGGAGCTTCTCTACGAGGCTTTACTGAGAGTTTGAGGTTATGAGGTTTACTCACAAGCTCTTAGTATAAAGTAAAGGCAAATAAATAAATAAAAATAACATTATCAACCAGAATTTTTTACTGATCAAACTGTTTTCGGAACTGTAATGATGCAGAAGGAAGCATAAATAAATAGAAATATTAAAGTCCCCCTGTGGTGAAAATACAGCTTTTAATGTTGTTTATATATCTATGTGGTGTTTTTAATGTGCTTTAAGACAAACCACGTGTAAGCATTTTCTAATTAAAACAGCAGTGAACCAAAGACAGTCTCAAAAACACGGTTTGAAATCGCTGGTGTTTCTGACGTCACACACTACCTTGTAACCAATCAGATCAACGTGTGATCGTCAACCAGTGGATCTCTGAGCTGAGGGTGTGAGTGGAGGCGGGGCTCATTTGCATATTCATAGAACCACGTATACTAAATGAGGCAAGGGTGTAAAAAGATATTTTAAAGGCATGAAGAATATTTTTTGTCATAATTAAATGTGTCATTTTGGTGATCAAAAATTAGTTTTAAGGGATAAAATGATTGACTACTATTTTCGGTTCGCTATCCCTTTAAAACATGGCAAACATGCCGATTAGGCAAGTTCTGAATCTCTTATTGATTTCTTGGATCCTCCAAAACTTGACACACAGAGGCTGATGGGTTATAGAACAAAATGACCCAAAAAGCCCTCTCTGGAGTGCTTGTGGTCATGGCAACCGGAGGAGCCGGCTGAGATTGGGCATCCCTGGTGCCTGTTTTATATCATATAGTTGGAGCATGGTGCTCTCTTTAAACAGTGTGTGGGAGAGAGAAAGAGACAGAGACAATGACACCTTCACTAATCCTAACCATTACTACATAATCTACCTTCAAGATATAAGAAATAATCTGATTTCTTTGACTGAACGCTCAGGAAGATATCTACGGGCGGCTGTAGGCAGTGTTGGGGTAACTCACATAATCAGATTACTTTTACAACACAGACTTACTTTTTCAAATAACCTGAGTTATGTAATCAGATTACTTTTACAAAACACAGACTACTTTCTCAAGTAACTTGAGTTATGTAATCAGATTACTTTCACAATACAGACTACTTTTTCAAGTAACTTGAGTTACGTAATTAGATTACTATTACAACACAGACTACATTTTCAAGTAATTTGAGTTACGTAATCAGATTACTTTTACAATACAGACTACTTTTTCAAGTAACTTGAGTTACGTAATTAGATTACTTTTACAATACAGACTACTTTTTCAAGTAACTTGAGTTACGTAATTAGATTACTTTTACAATACAGACTACTTTTTCAAGTAACTTGAGTTATGTAATCAGATTACTTTCACAATATAGACTACTTTTTCAAGTAACTTGAGTTATGTAATCAGATTACTTTTACAACACAGACTACATTTTCAAGTAATTTGAGTTACGTAATCAGATTACTTTCACAATATAGACTACTTTTTCAAGTAACTTGAGTTATGTAAACAGATTACTTTCACAATACAGACTACTTTTTCAGGTAATTTGAGTTATGTAATCAGATTACTTTTACAATACAGACTACTTTTTCAAGTAACTTGTGTTACGTAATCAGATTACTTTTACAATACAGACTACTTTTTCAAGTAACTTGAGTTACGTAATTAGATTACTTTTACAATACAGACTACTTTTTCAAGTAACTTGAGCTATGCAATTAGATTACTTTTTCAAGTAACTGGTTATGT